TATATATACGAGATCTGCAGAGCTATCTAATATACATTTGAAAATAATTCTATATTCAAGCATATTTTTGATTCCCCCTGCCCATAAGATAAGCTCAAAAATTTTGTTATTTAGAATATTGGTTATATTTTGTATATGGTTTCGAATAAATTAAAAATATGATCATTTTTAAATAATGAATATTAAACTTTCCTTGTATGGTTTTCCAACTGAGCAATTTTTTGTAAAAAACAAATGTTTTTAAGCCCGGCCCGGGTTTATTTAAATAAAATTTTACGGCCTCGGGCTTTGCCCCGGTCATACAGGTCTCTATTATATTTGTATTATATATATAAATTAAACAATCTTTTACCTTGAAATAGTTTTATTATAATCTATTATTAAAAATATTCGTAAAACAATTGTAACCATCAGCAAATTTGAATCCACAATTGATTTTCTTTGCCATCATTTAATTTATAAATTATTATTTTAAAAAACTGGCTAAATTTTTACCTTTTTAAAAAATTACACCTTTTTCTATATAATATCAACATATATTTTTATGATGCAATTTTTCTTCGAGTAACAACATTCATTTCAAAAAAAAAATTTTTTGTAAATTTTTATCGCACAAAATAAACGTTGTAATATAACAAGAATAGTCTAAGAATTCTAGAACTGAGAATACCATTTTTAGAGGCCTGTAATAGATACAGTGCGACAAATTGGGATTAGGTTTCAGCGCACACCTGTGAATAAAATCTATGTTATATATGGGGACAAACCAATAACATAAAAAGAGTTATTTGTAAATAAAGTAAATATATATTTTTCAATACTCTCATTAATTTATAACGCGGGCGAAATCGTTTATTATTAGTTGAACGTAAATTTGATGGCTTAGATATAGCTACTAACGCGGATTTGTTCTTCCAAGAGGGGTTAAAAACTTTGATTTTTTTAAAGTCAATAATTTTAGGCTGATCTTTTTTACGAATCGTAAATTTTTCCCATTCTTTTGAACTTAATTTAATGGATCGTCTAGATTGCTTTAAATTATTAAGGTAACTGTGGTAGCGACCATTTTGCAATTTCCATAAACTTTTAAAGAATGATAGCACAAGATACAGATATATGATGATGAATGTTATTATATATAATTGCTTAATTAGGAGGTAATAAATAGCCAATGGTTTATTCATTTTTCCCACCACTATCTTGCATGGCATATCTTTCTTATGTGAATTATATTGTATTTCGTTCAGTTTGTATACTGGTACGGTGGTGAGCGTGAAAAAGATGAATCCAAACCAAGGTAAAATTCTGTAAACCCAGCCTTTTCTGATTGATTCCACCGTGCGAAAGTTTTTGATGCACAGGTATTTGTCCAAAATATAACAAATTTTGATCAAATAACTCATATTGTAGAGGACCATGGATAATATCATATAAACTCTTCTTAGCAACAAATAAGTGTCACAGGAGCGTTTTGGACGATTATTGATGATAAAAATCTGTTCACCGATTTCCATAGTATGGATTATGCAAAAGATTGAGTTTATAAAACACATACATCTTAAAAAGTAATATGCCGAATAAATCTTTCGATATTTACATAAGGCGCAATACAAATATGTGTTTAGGAATAATCCAATTATCGTCAAAATCGATGTTAAAATTATGAAAGCCAATCTATAATTGTAAAAATCATTGGTAATCTCCCACAATATATAGGTTGAAACGGTGTTATTATAGGTTCTTGGACGCCTAATGAACGAGATCCAATCCCCAAACATCAAAAAAAATGTACACAATTTTAAGGCCAAGATAGATTATTAATTAGCTAAAATAAATTAAAAATCCATCATACGTTCATTGATTGGGTCGATTATTTTTTTCCTAAAAGAATAAATTAGCGTCCTAGTTTGATAAAAAAATTAAATATATTTTTTTTTAATCACACCTTAACGTTAAAATGACATCTTAAGAAAAGATCAATAATTTTCATTTGCTCGAATATGAGAAAGTTTTAGTGAAAATATAATTTATGACAATTTTTTAAAAAAATGGTTATAGTGGTAACCTAGACTTAAATTTTCTTATATTATTTGCAAAACCAAAACCATATGGAATAAATAAATTCTGAAGTAATCCTAATTTTCTTATCACAGCCCAAGCAGTCAGTGGTGTCATTAGCCTTTAGGGAGAGGGGGAGTGCATAGGAAACCCACTTTAAAATTTGGAGATGTTTGAAAATCTTAATTTTTTTACAAATTTTAGGCAGAAATATATTTTTTTGCGCTATATTTAAATAAAATTTACTATTTTTTGCTCATTTTAGATAGAATAACTACTTTGCAAGTGTTAAAAATTAATTTAAAAAATGAGCCCCCTAGTTAAAAAAAAAAGAGCTAGTGAGACCATGCAGCCAAAGATTCCAGAAAATGTATATCTTTTATCAATCTTTTTTAAATTTTAAACTCCTTTCATATTTTATCCAGATCCTTTGTTGATAATCAGACATTGGCATGCAAACTTATTATTAAGGTATCGTAATAACACCAAAAAAAATATTATTATTACATATTCAGAAATTTTTAAATAATTGGCGGGCATTTAGATAAAATCAACTTCCCCTCCCTCCTTAAATTTGATTCCAGATGAATAGTTCCGGAAGATCGATAATAAATTTTAAGGCACTAGTGGCTAAATATTTTCGGATCGATTAGAAAAATGGAATATATATATATTATACATGATTATTTTCTAAATGAGTCTGCAGAAGATTGATATATAGACTAGATATCAGCCTACTTGAGATGACTATAGGGGTAAATTAATATACAAACAGTGGGAAGGGGTCTGTTGTTGGGGCGATAAAAATATACACAAATATTTATGTTAATTTTTGAATAAAAAAACAGCGAAAAAATGAGAACAAAAAAATAGGCTTAATAATCATTTTATTTAATAAATTTTCAACTATGGAAATTAAAATTAAATTTATGAAATTAATCTTCTTATAAAGAAATTTTAACTTTTTTTAAAAAAAATTTAACGAAATAGGGAGTTTATAATAATTGTGATAATGAAAAATTTGTAATTAAAATATGGTAGATAATATTTAAGATGATTGTGATATTGAGAAGTTTGCAATAAAATATATTGGTAGATTATATTTACCATAAGGATTGTAAAGTAACAAAAATATTGTTTTTTTCTAATGAAAATGATAACTTTCTCCTTGTTTTACTGATTTTGGTTCATCTTTTTTTTCGATCTCCTTTTTTGCTATGAATTTATTTCCTTTGCTACTATTTTAAAATGCCAAATGAAAGTCATACAATCTTATTTTAGTCTAATTAATGAATATCGCAATAAAAAAAATTGTTTTACATTATCTTTCGTCTTATTAGATATCGAATAAATGGCAAAGTAATATTCTGCTATTGAAATAACCAAAAATTCTTTTTATTCTTTCCAAAACAAGAAACTCCTAACTAAAATAAAATCGTCAGATAATGTGGGTATCTATATTTATTTATTTTGACTTCGTAAAATATTGTTATATTCGAATATTCAAATAAAAGTTGATAAATGATTATAATTTAATAAAAAAAAGGAGTTGCGTTTGTTCGGTTCGTAAATTTAATAATTTATTTAAAAGCCCCTTTTCCCATACAAAATTATTAGAATTATGTAAAGAAAAATCACAATATTATCGCTACTCCCTAAAAAAAAATATTGCGCCTTATATACAAGTTAAAATAATTTTCAAGATTCTCTTCAGAAAAATTATATAAGTGAATGAATAAAATTATGGTTGGGAACTTCTATACGCATACTTTGGCAGCTGACATCGCAAATATAATTTATATTAAAATATCTAAAAATATAGTTAAAGTGATATTTATCAATTAAATGATTACTGTTAGGATATACAGTTCGCATACCTAATTAGAAGTAAAGTTCAGGTGAAAACTTCTTAAAGTTTTAGGTTCGATAAATAATAACGGTTGGGTTTCTTGATTAAGACTAAAAGCAAGGAAGGAAACTTAACTTTCAGTTAGTAGATACCATTATAATTATGTATGAAAAAAAAATACTTTACTTTATTTTTTTTTCTAAATAATATTTTAAATTAAAAAAATATATATTATTATAATGATTATATAATATTAATATTTTAAAAAAAAATATTACAATAATGAAAATAGGTGATAATTTGATTGAATAATTAAATTGTCTCGTGGATTTGAAAGTTAATAAAAAAGAAGAATAATAATTTACGACCAATTTATTAATTTTAAAAACATTTTTTAAAAAATGAAATGGCCAAATATCATTATAATAAAATATTTATTGGGCGAATGAATATATATGAACCTATCAAAAAAAAAATTATAAATTAATATTAAATATTACTGTAAAAAAAAGTTTTTGGTTTTATATAAATTTTTTGGACTTATAAAATAATAATAATAATAAGATTCGTATAAAAATTAAATATTTATAATAAAATTTAAAAAAAATTAATTTTTGAATATTATTAGTTTATTTTATATAAAGAACTTTTTGAATCTGATTGGATTTCAAAAATAATAAAAAATCACCTGTTTTATATCAAAATTCATTTTTTTAAAAAAAATTTATAAATTCAACTAGGTATAAATAGGTTTCGAATTCAGATGGGGCTAAATGGGCTATTTTCAAATTGGGCTAGAGAATTTATTTATGGTTTTTTTTACAAAATATAATATAAATTAAATAAAGACCAAAAAAATTAAAAATTATTTAATAAAATACCTGGGGACCATAATTGTAAAACTTGTGAATTTATTATTTTGCAGCCAAACTTTTTAATTGTTTTTAAATCACTTAATTTTTTTAGCACCATTTTTATAAAAAAAAAATACAAAATAGTTTAAAAATAATAAAAATGCATTATATAATTTATTTATTATAACATAATTTTAATTGTTTTTATAATAATTAATTGTTATTATTGATTTGGGACTGAAAATGGGCACTAAATAATCTAAAAATATGTTTTAAAAAAAAGTTGATAATATTCAACAAAAATTTATATATAAAATAATAATAAATGCAAATATTTAAATCACAAAAATAAGTTAAATTACAATTAGTATTATTTGGTCCAATAATTAACTATAAAATTTTGGATAGGATTGGACAGCTTTGGTAGTAGTAAGGGCAGTGGGGTGCTTAGATTTAAAACTTTTATGCTTCTTATATAAAAAAATTATGCTAAATTTTAAAAAAAATTGGATAAGTAATGATTTATAAAAATCTATGGACATATTTTTTTTAATTGGATCGAATTGCACTAATCGGATAAAACGAGCGCTAACTTACTTAACTCTATAGATTAAAAAAAGGTAATCAAGTTCAAGAGTCAACTAATTATCTTCTCCTAAGAACGCTAAACATTTAATGAAATGACTTTTGTATCAATTTTATTGATGATCCCAGCCTTTTTTTCGTGTAAATTTTCATTGGCGCTATGCCTATCCCTGCTTCTTTTGGAAGGAAAGGACGCGGCGCAGTTGGGTACGGTGCATTTATGCATGAGTCTCAAATGCACGTTTTGATAATGGGTCTTAACCCCGAAATGATTTTGGAAAATTTTTCCGCACAAAACACATAGCCTTGGATTTTCGGGGTCGGCCGGAATCTCCAATCCCTCGGTGTTTGGAGATTGAGATTTTCTGCTATAAATCCCAATTCCCCCTTTGGTAATCATAGTAATTTTTTTGGTATCAATGTTGTTTGTGAGATCAAAATCGGTTATAACACTGTTGTAGTTATTCGCAAAATATTTGTAATTATTATTGATAATAGGTTTGGTCCGATATTTCAGTTTTTTCTCAAAGATAGTGGAGTTAGCTTTGAGCTTGACCAGAGAAATGGGCATGTTATCTCTCACAGATTCCAAGCCGGACTCATTATAGTTACTAAAATTTGCATCTGTGTCATATGTTTCATCATTATTTTGGTGACCATTAGAATGGTGATATTCGAGGTGATTTGGCTGTTGCAAATTGTTCGAGGAGCTAGAATAAGAATATGGCATGGTTTCGTCTTGAAAATCATCATGCGATAATCTATACGATAGATCGCTCTGAGGGGGAGGTTGATTATCATTTTGAGAATAAGCGATGGTCATAATCTTTTCCGGTATTTCCGCATTGTTCATTGGCCATTTCCCGTATGCGATGTTTAGGTTCAAATGCTTATTCTTGTGCGGAAAATGTTTGTTTTTAGTAGCGGGTAGCGAAAATTTCAGTTTTTTAATTTGGTTTTTGGTTCTAGTTTTGTCTGGATTGGTAAGCATGCGGATTTTCCCATCTTTTCCGAAATGTTTTTTTTTGCGAAATAGTGAGGAGGACTCCATTTTAACTCTATAGTTGGAGGGAGTTTGATTTATATGATTTGGTTGCTGTGATGCGAGATTGTGGGATAAAAAATTAGAATTAGGATAAGCAGCCATATCGTTGTTATTATACATATAGGGATTATTCCTGGAAAACAATGATTGGGGAACTAGATAGTGGTTGAAATTAGTTTGTTGCATCATCTGAGCTTCCAGCTTTTTATTTTGCAAAAATTTAGGATAATACATAGCCATTTGTGCTATAAACTGTCTAAAATTAGAGTTATTTAGATAGGAAAAATTTAGGAACGAATATGGATCGGAGTTCTCGCATGCCATTTTATTTAAAAAATAAGACATCCAGGGTATAAAAGAATGAATCGAATTTAAAAAAGCGTTTTTGTTATGTATCGTAGGCGAGGGCGGTTCGGAGAGGTTATAATTTTCTGGATTATCCATATCGCCTAAAGATTCTTCGCTAGAGTATGGGTGCATTGAAGAATTGCTGGAATGAGAGTCACTTTTATTAGTTAATTCGGGGACATCTATGGATCGAATCGAATTATTATCACGTGGCGCGTTCAAAGAGCATTTAAATTTGCTGGCACTTAAGTCAAGCAACTCGTCTTTTTGGTCACTATCTATACCGTCTTCCAAGTTATTATTATTATTGTACCGATTATTTGATGCTGCAAAAGGTGCTAAGCTATTCTGACATTTTGATTCGAGAGCGATAAATTGAATTTCGTCGGGTTCAGTTTTAACATTATCTGTAATGAGTTGTTTGCAGGATAAATCTAGTGGGTCTAAATCATGATTGTTGGATATAACTTTATTCAATAGCGGATTTTCGGATACCACCGATGATACAGAGCAAGTTATTTGGTTGGTAGTAGTATCTAATAATCTGTCAGTATTACTATTATTATTATTGTTGCAGTTATTTTTTGATTTATCACAAATATTATTTTCAACTTGCACTTGATATCTTTTCCATTGCTCGTAAAGATTCAGATAGATATTTTTATTGCCGATTATGTGTTCGGTGCTGACAACATCGTTCGAGGATATAATATTTGGAGATGTAATCGCAGATAAAATCTGTTTATTATTGTACAAAGAATCATCACAAAAGTCATTTGCCGTTATCATTTTATTGTGCCGCGAATGATTCCGGGAAAATATACGGCCGTTAGGATTGTCTATTTTGTAATCCACCTCATTTTTGACTATATCAGCAATAGGATTTTTATGAGAATCAGTAAGATAAATTTTACATGGTATATAGGTTTTTCTCTTATTCCAAACCCTTTTCGAATTCACTAAAGTGCACATGTTCTTGGGAGGTTTTGTCAGAATAGCGATGTCATTAGTAGATTTATGGGATGAATCGGTTAATTGACAATCCTTATTGGGTAATGAGGACTGTTGAAAACAAAGGGAATTATTTATACAATCATTGCGTCTAATTGACCCAATGTCGGAGTAACCGCGATACATATTATTATTTGAAAGCATATTATACTCCTTTTTAAAATTAAAGTCATGCTTCGATGCATTATAGTTGAACCCATTTGATGGTTTCATGGAAAGATCTAAAGCTTGATGGGAGGTGCCGTCGGGAGATAACAAATTTTTTGGAACATAAACCGATAAAACCTCATCCGACTTTTTTTCAATTCGGAAATCGTTTGCGTACTTTACATCTGCCATACTACATTTAGACATAAAATCGATTCCACTCTCATTGTGATCCTTAATTTTGCCATCGTCACCGTCGTCAAGCTCATTTTCAATGTCAAAAACACTGTCATCAGTTTTCATAGTATTTGTATTATAATTATTAAGGCAGGAGATGTTATCGAGATCTTTCATACACACGCTCCGGTGATGTCTGTAGCCGGGTATGTGAAGTCTAGGATTCGGGTTCGCACTGTGCCTGTTTCGACTCCGGCGCGAACTAAACATCATCTCGCAACCCTTCACGGTGCATTTGTGTTTTTCCCGCAAATGAACAGCACTATGATGAATCTTGAGAGATCCTTTATCGCAAAAAGTCTTTTGACAAATGGGACATTGCACGCGTTTGTACGTTTTAGCGAAGTGCTGGTACGAGGTATCCGGCGTGTTCGGGCACGGGTTTTCATTTAATTTGCTTGGAGGGTGTATATAAGGAAAAATTTTAGAATCTTTGGTAGTCGATAAATCGCCATTAGCCTCGGTATTAAAATTGTAGTGGTTTTCGATTATGGATTGGAGAGTCGTATTATGTTTGAAAAATAGTGCGGGGTTTTCGTGATCTGGCAAGTCCAAACGTCGTTTGTATAAACCTTCGGTTTCCGGTTTATATTTATTAATAAAAGGTTTATCTTTGTTTTCGTCATTCGGGAATTGTTGATAAATATCTGCTTTTTTAAATTTTTTTAACGATTTAATTTTCGTTTGCTTTATCGTCTGTTCGGTTGTGTCAGTGACGATATGCACCTTATCATTTAAATTTTTCATGACTTTTGAATATTAACTAATAGTCGACAACTAATATTGTTTATCAAATGACTTCGGATAACTGAAATAATGATTGAGAAACTGTAATATGTCATCACTGGGCGTCGTTTTGTTTTGGAAGTTTCGTTTTAGTTAAAGCTGTCACTTCGGAAAAATTGTTCCTCTAGTCGCTGCTAGATGAGTATTTTCGACCTTAAAATGGTATTACAGGAGATGGTACTAGAAAATGATGGTCCTTATTAAATCACATTTTGATTGTTCAAAATCATCGCCTTTTAAAATGGGTAATGAAGCTTGAGTCGCATTAAGAACACATTAAGCAAATATTAAAACTGTTAATGGAATTATATTACCTTTCGCGAAGCCTTGGTAAAATGGATTGTTTAATATCATGATATAAGATTGGAATAGGTTCCAGTATTAGGTAATATTCGGGTTTTTCATATATTCTGCATTAACTTTGCTCATATTTTTAATCGACAAGGAATTCGAGATACTATCTTTTTCGGAACATTTGATATCGTTAATTTTGTTAATGTGATTAGAGATCTGCAAAGCCCGACTATGCCCTATAGGCATATAAAGTCTGTAAATTTTCCCTTCGGGCGGGAAGGGACATGCAGTTGTCTAATCACATAAAAGAAATATCATGTCAAATGTTCCGAAAACGATATCCCTATCGATTACAAATATGAGCAAAGTTTATACCGATATATGAAAAACCCATATTCCCGAATATTGGAACTGATTCCAACATATTCCATGATGTTTAACATCCAAAGTTACCGAGTGTTCTCAAAAGATAACTCCATTAACGGTTTCCCATATTTGCATAAAAATATGTTGGAGCCTAATGTGATCCAAGCTTCATTACCCCTATCAAAATGAAATGATTTTGAATAATCAAAATGTGATTTATTAGGATTACCATTTTCAAATACTACCTTCTATAATGCCATTTTGGATAAAATACTACCAATTCTAGCAGCGACGATAAACAATCTTTCTGATGAAACAGCTTTAGCTAAAACGAAAATTAAAAAAGTGGCTACCAGTGACGTAGGCTAAGAATTTTTGGGGTTAAACTTCCCCCCCCCCCAAAAAAAAAAATACGACTAGGTAATGTTACTATCTATATACGATTTTTTTAAAATTTGATATAACACGCCTCCTTATTTTTCTAATTCCATAAAATTATCTAGGAAATTCCTTCTCATATTTAAAAAAAAAAGTGAAATCATTTTAAAAAACCTACGAATCAACAATAAAAATTTTGTATATATTATTTTAAAAAAAATGAAAAACGAGAAGTTTCCTTTCATAGGGATTAACGTTTTACCTTTCCTATTTTTAATTGAAAAAGCTAGTGCTGTTAAAAGGCTCGTTTTGAGCCGTTTTAAAAGCGGCTAACTCAATTCACCCAGAAATATATTACGCAAGCCTGAAGATTTTGCTCATAGAAGGAAAGGACTAGACATATATTATCGAAATCTCGAGTCTGGCTAAAATATTGAGTTAGCCGTTTTAAAAGATCGGATGAAAATGAGCCGTTTAAAAACACTAGTAAAAGCACACTTAATATATTAGTATTACTTTACTAAACAATCGTTCAACTTTAACGCGTGAGGGTAAAGAAATAAGATATTATTACTGTTTCTAATTTTACCGTAACTACATCTTATTTTGGTATCACATTTGCCAAAGATGCCATAAGTCTATTTGTCCATTTTTATATATAATCACTACTAAATTTCAAAAGTATCAAAGCTACAGCCAGAGACTGAGTCTCATATTTTGAAAGATGATAAAAAGTTAATTTTTTTTTATCCCATTGATAATAGTAAAATTTTTATATTTAATTTATATTATATATTATAATTGCTTTGGTGCTTCTATAATCTTCATTCTATCTTGAATCTTCGTATATATTTTAGTAATCTTCGTTTTTTACTTTTTTTTATTTATTCTGTTTACTAAGCAAATTAGATTGAATATTAAAGAAAATTGTAGCCTATTTAAGCATTACTTTGACTAAGCTTTAGAATTAATGTTTCAATAGTTTGGCAAACTTAATGCTTAGGGCTGCGCTTTAATATCAGATTCAGATCAAATATTTGAAAATATAACTCGATTAATGAGATTTTATTGGTGTATTTATACTTGACGCGCAACCAAGGGGAGAGGGTGGGGAATCCCCCCATCGTAAATTTGCATGTTCTCGTAAATAACATTTTAAGCTAATAAAAATTCCCCCCTAACACCCCCCACCCTCCAAATGTATACCATATACCATTATAAGAAGAATTTGAATGAAAAATGATTAAAATTTTTAATAACTTTTAATAACGACTAAAATTCAAAATTTTTTTAAAAAAAGGGATTTTATTTTTTAAAAAAGAAAACCCAAAATTATTTTTGTAAAAATCTATAACCTGAAGATCTCCAATAAATTTATGGGGAAAAATTCATCTAATGGTGCCCCCCCCCCCCAATTAGCTAAATACTGGATATGCCTATATTAGACTTTATTGATTTTTGAATCGCAAATTAAAATCCAATATTTACGACGCGGCCTAAGCGTGCTCTTATTTTTATTTTGCTTATAACTGTTTTTGTCTATTGGCTGAAAAAACTGATTAATGAATTAGTAAGTACTAATCATGCATAACATATTATTCATTGCTTCTATAATTTTCCTTCTAGCATGTCAATTTTGGCAATAATGTTTTCTTCAAACAATCTAACAAACTGGTTAAAGCATTATAAAAGTATGATAATTATTGATATACATTTCATAGTTAATGCTTCAAAAAGTTTGGCTGAATACGAGCTTATGGCGTATCATAGTTTGTATTTTGTGACTGGCGAAATTGTGATTAGAGTATTAACGCAAACCAGATGAATGCATAGTGTTACGTCTTACCTTCAATTTGTTAATAACTAGGTATTTTTTTGTGAATCTCATATTGAGGAATTAATAAATGTTAACCAGATATATAGTTTTCCTATAATTTCCACTCTAACATAATGTCAATTTTGGAAATTTCTTTCTTTTTTGTTTATACTCATTACCAAACAGATTAAATCATACAGTTAAGCACTAAACATTGATAAAATTTTCAGAATAAATGCTTTAAGTCGTTTTCTATCGTAAATTTAGACAAAATTTTGTTACTAATAATTTTTTCCTATATACTGGCTATTACTGGTTAAAGTCATATTCTAATGTAGCACAAAACATGGGCATATTTTAGAATTAGTGCTTTATCGGCCAACTTTAATGGAGATCATATAAAGATGACCATGGAAAAATCAATAATATTTATTCATAATTATTTATAGGAGGGACCTTGCTTAAGGCAGGTAAATTGGGGTTTGGGGACGAAACCCCACCAAAATTTTCATCCCTCACATCCTTATGGATAAGTTCTGGCTAAGCCACTACGTGTTATGTATCACATTCGTTATTTAGGTTATCTGAAGTCATTTGATAAACTTTGCCTACTATTAGTTAACATTAGAGTCGCAAAAAATTTAAATGTGATTAACGAATGTATGTCGTCAAACTGGCTTATTCACACACCCGTAAATGAGATAATCAACGAAAACAGACAATGGAGATGAGAATGCTGAGGATGATAGCTGGTAGATAAGATACTAAATATAAAAAAATACTAGGAAGTTTAAAGGTAGTACTCATTAAAACAGAGATTGTGGTGAACAAACTTAGGTGGCATGGACCAGTGGCGTAACTAGCCTTATCAATCTTTGGCACAAAAATAAATTTTTAATATATTTTTTTGGCTTTGACTTATAGGTTTGAAATTTTTTTTTTTAATTTTCAGTTTAAATATTTCAGGGGCTAAATTCCCTGTGCCCCCCCCAATGACGCTACAGGTATGGGGATGAGATAAGAAGGCCTAAAAACTATAGAAACAAGGGAATCTAGAAGTGATGGGTAAACGAAAGAGAGGAAAAATAAAATGGTAAGATAATAAAAGAGTATACCACACGAAAAGGTGAAAGAAAGGCTAAAGAGGTGGGAGGGGGATCATATTTACTTGTATCTTTGGCATCATAGTTCGAAAGATTTTCTTCTGCTTTGTATATTTCCTTTATTGAACCATCATCATTACGAAAATATTTGGGTCGCAATTGAATAAATGGGTCTTGATCGTTAAATGTATCAAGATTTGTTTCGTGGATTAAAAATTCATTGCGAGGTATCTGGAAATAAGGCACCGGGTGAGCTTGGTAAGTATCGTCAGAATATTGATTTATGGGTATATTGTGAATTTTTGATTGGCCATTAGCAAAATATTCTTCTTTTATATATTTTTTAGCACCAGAATCCTTGATATAATTAAAGGACTCTTTATTTATTCCCCCCGCATTCGAAGTTTGATCGTTGTCCTTCTCTATTTGGTCCCTAGTCGTCGAGGCATCGTGGAAATTGGTCTCTTTATTGTTGGTATCGTCTGCGTTCTTCTCGATTTCTTCATCGGTGATTAGTTTAAAATCATTTGGTAAAATTTGTTTTCGAGAAGAGCAAATATTCGTATCTGGAAATCGCGGATAAGATTCGCTATTACGGGTTATGTAAGATGCTTTGAGTATAAGATTGTCAAAATATTCGTTGGATATGAAATATTTTCTGTAATGATTGATCAAATCCGGATTTGAAGGAGGAAATGGGTGCTGCGATTGTGTGTTTAGCATGGTTGATTTAAAAGGTAATTTAACTTTAATCCTAATTAAAGCATCATTATGATGATAGTAACTTTTCTTAGTTACCAACGAATACCTTGCTGGGAGTAATCATTTTCTTTTCTTCTTCTTCCTCCTAATTAATCTAAAAAAGTGTTTCCAAAAAGATGATTATCATTTTTTTAATTATTTAATCTAATTTATTTTTTAATGATAATAAAAAAAAATTAATAAAGTAATTCACTAAGGTAAAAGGAAACTCGAGGTCGTATTATTTTCAAACAAAAATTAAAAATTTTTTAAAAAATTATATTTTAAATAATAAATAATCACTAATAAATTGAGTCTCAACTCGTTGGACTTGTAAAAAATTTTATATAAATAAAAAGCTGGCTTTTTAAATAAAATTAATAAAATAATTAATTTTTATTTTATTTTTTAAAAAAAAATAAATAATTTACTAAGTTTCCCATTCCCATGCGTAAATCAATTTTAACAAAAATATTATTTTATTTTTTTGAAGAAAGGAAAAAAAATCAACAAAAAAAATTTTTCAGACAAAACTATATCAGATGAGAATAGTCTCCAACTCAACTCTCCTCAATTTTCGTTCTTAACGCGATGTAAAACAGACAAAAAAAATTATATTAAAAGGGGGAAAAGGGGAGAAATGCTTATTATTATTTTTTGGTTTCATACAAAAAAAAATTAATGTGAAAAACTGAATGAAAAGTTATAATTTTATAACACAATGCACATTATTCAAATTTATTTTTATTGTTTTGGAACTTGGTGGTGGAATAAAAGAGAAAGAAAAAAAAGAGAAATATTTTTGTTTTTAAGATATTTTGGGGAGGGTGGGTTAGGGTAACATCGAATTTTATATTTAGAATAATATTAACACCCCCCCCCCCCCTCCCATCCATTCTCCCCAACAACAAAAAAGGAAGGCTTATTATCAAGTATTGATAAATATTTGTTGGAAATTGGTAAAGATCTAAAAAGGATCTCATAGTGTTCAATATCTCATTAATAAATGCTTACCTGTAGATTGAAAAATTCAAAACTATTTAAATAAAAAATTATTTAATTTTTCAAAAAGAAATTATTTTTGGCTGACAAATTATTGGCGTCGATATGGTCAGGCATATACCTTGATTTAATTTTTAAACATGCTTATACTTGTTTAAGCAATAATTTTTTATCTTTTAAAAAAAGATAAGTTGTTATTAATCTAAAAAAAAATTAAAGTTGATCTATAGTAGATTTTATTTAAATTAGTTGATGAGTGATCCAGACATCGAGTTATCAGGACCGATTCGAGAAAGCCCACCAGTCTAATTCTACTCTTTAAAACAAGATCCCAGTCTAATCTGATGTGAAAAAATATTGGAGTGAAGAAAAGGTACGATTTTTTAAGGAAACGGAAATAATATAAGTGCTATTAGGAAAACAATAAGAATTTGTGTTTCAGGGAGAAATCTGGTGAGAATAAAACATTTAAAATCAGGTCCCTTCTTAACCGAGCACGAGAGAATCTCGATCCGAGATCGGATAGGTTGGCTCAAGAACTTAGTAGAAGGTAATCTTTAAGTAGGCTTAAAATTCTAATAATGATCAGACCAGCAGAGGTACTATTTGCACAACCAGGCACATATTTTTTTTAAAAAAAAATTTTCTGTTCGGACTTGCTTTTACATTTTCAGGCCCGGAATTATAGATAATAATAGCGATTAAAATATATTGTTTTAAAATATACGACCGGACCCGGATATTTTTTAAAAAAATTTTTTAGACCGGCCCGGGTATATTTAAAAAAAATTAAAATACGGCCCAGCCCGTGCTGATATTGATTGTTAAAATGTAAATTTAATTGTATTGCATTGTATAATGTATTGATTTAATATATGAATAAGTATTTTAAATAAAATTTTTATTTTTTAAATTAAAATAAAAGTATTTATACAACTGGATGGTAGATAACTCTCTAGATCTAGACTATCACAAAATCAAAAAAAAAATATAAATTTAAGACAAAAGGTATAAATAATATTAGTTAGGTATGTTGTTCTTATTTGAATTTATTTTAAAATAAATTTATCATATTTTAAATTTCCCAATTCTAAAAATGTAAAATAAAAATGTCTGATAAATTGAACATTGATTTTTTTTTTCAAATAATAAAGGAACAATATTTTAAGAATTTCTTCACCTTTTTAAAAAAAAATTTAACATATAAATAAATGATTCATTTATTAATTAATAGAGAATTTTATTTTTAAAAAAAACACAAGGTAAACAATGTTACAATTTTGAAGAGTTTGTTGATTATTGGAAGAGGAGATATAAGGATAAATTATTACTAAGCTTTAAAGTATAATTATGATGATGGCCAACTACCATTTATTATTCTCTATTTGTAACCGTTAAAAAAAATTTACTCCTTCCAAATTGAAATTGATTAGTATATAGTTTAGTTTAATAAATACTAAATGTTGTTTTTTACTCATTATATTGATCACTCTAATCTATATTTAATAAGTTTTTCTTTTTATAATCGATTAAAGGCAGAGGCGTAACAATTACTCAAGCCAAATTTTTGCAGATATTGGATCAAATTATTGGAATAGGTCCAATTTTTATGAGGGAGGGGGCGGGGATGGGGTTAGCGCAACGTCTTTGAATACAGATATTCTGCCAATCTAAATATTTAATAATCATAAAATGAGCGAATCATAGACAGAAAATATTTAGACAAGATCTGGAAAAAAAAAATCCAGGGGAAAAAGAAACTGGAGAAAAAGGCACCGAACAAAAATAAATTTTAAATTTATTTAAATTTGAAAAAGAGGTAATTCTAATTTTTTTGAAAATTAGGGTTTGTCCGCAGGCATGTTTGTCCCGGGTATTTTCGTTTTGTCCGGAACTTTTCTGACCATGATTCAAAATGGGAAGTCTAAGAGCTTTTTAAACAATTTTCCTCCTATTTATATTGATTATAGTTGGGTAATAGCTACATTTTTATCCGATTTAGCCCATTTCAAGAAAGGCTAAACCGATTATTTTAGCCGAAAACTAACAAAATACCCCCAACCAAAAATAAAATAATTAATTAGAGGTCAAAATCACCCTGTCTTACTTTACATCTTAAGGGGTTAAAGATTCTGCTCCATGTTAAGAATATTTTTCAAAATGCGGTTCTGGTTCTTAGATTTGCCTAAATTTCCCAACACAGTAAGGCTAATATTTTCAGAACTACTAAAAAACAAGAATCAGCTTTTGTAAACTACGCTTCGTTCTTTCTTTCTAGTATTTCTATTTAAATTTGCCTTTTGTTTTACATCAGAATATTCCCTCTTTTTTTTATATCAAAGTAAATTTTTTTTTATTTACAAGAAACCGCAGGAGAATTTAATATCGATAAAAAAATCAATGGTTAAAACAAGACATTATTAATTAAAAATAAAATATACAAAAATTTTAATTTCACTTTATTTAAAAAAATAAAATACAGTATCATCTTTTTTTATAAATAATGAAATCCTTAAAAAAATTTAAAACCATTTTTCCATTGGCATTTGTGCCATATGTGCCTCCTTCTTTGAATCATACAATCTTCTATTTTTTAAAAAAATATAATAATCATTCATTACATAATAATAATATCATATTCATAATATCATTTCATGAAACTTATGTTTTTTGTTTTGTGCTTTTTTTTGTTTTAATAGTCTTTGGTTACTTCTCCATTTTTTTGTTAAATAGAAGAATTTTTAAAGGAGAGATTGATAAAAAGTTAATTAATGTGCACACACAATTAATTTGAATGTGAATGGAAGAAAAATATTCGTTCTTTATTATAAAAAAATAAAGAATATGGAATATGGGGGGGGGGGGGGTGCAGTAATAAGAGATAGGTTAACTTCTACAAAAAAAATAAAATATTCAGAGTCGGACTTCATTATAGTTTTTTAATAAATTAATTTATTCGTTCTTCTTGAAACACTATTAACAAATGTTTTTTAAAAGAACCAAATAGACATAAAAAATTTTTTCTTATTCTCTTCTTCAAAAGCAAAAAAATAGAAGTTTAATATTGTTACTCGTTAATTAAACAAAAATGGAACCCAAAAATAAAATACTAAGTGACTACTTCTTGATTATCAAATTTCAGATTTCTCAGTTCTAAATAATCGCATTAAAATTTTGAATCAGTGTTAAGCAATATTAGCGGTTAAACAGGACCCAGATACGCGTCGTTGAAATTTCTGGGAGTTAACTTAGTGGGGTACTTTCTTAGCTAACATACATAGTCAATATCCATTTTATATTTAGTCATCAGGATTAGGAAAACCTCAGTGCCATTGGCTTATTGGGTTGGGTCTTGATAGATGGCTCGGAAGTGGTGAGTAACTAATAATTTAGACAGACAATCTTTTAATGTCAAAAAATTGATGCCATTAAAACTTTCAATAATTTGAAAATTATAAACAAAACAATATGACGTGTCAAAAATTAAAAGAATATAGTTTTAATTTTATTTAAAATCGCGCGATACAAAGTCCAATTTCTAGGGGAAAATAGGAAAATTTTTAATATATTTATTATAATACATTTTATATTTTTAAATGTCTATGCTTGCATAAATATAATAAAAATAATTTTTTTGGAAAAAAAAAGAAAAATTAAAGAAATATAAGAGCAAAAAAATACTAATTTTAATTTTAAAAACAATTTATTTTTAAAATATAAATTTATTTTTAAAATATAAATTTATTTTTATTATATTTCTTGAAAGATTAAAAAGGTAAAAAAAAAAGAAACAAAATTCAATTTGACGAGCAAATTTATTGACAAATATTTTGGCCCGTATTAGAGATTTACTATACTAAAACGATAATTCATTTTGAAAACATTTGTTTAGACTACAGAAAATGCATGAATTTGGAATCTTCATAGATTGTAGAAGTTTCTAATAAGAGTCAGGTTTTATAAATAAATACTATATCTATAATAATTTTTTAACATTTATTCTAGATATAAATCTATAACTAGATATTATTTTTGAGGATCTTTATCTGTTTTTAGATATTTTTAAGATATATTTTTATATACTTTTATTTAATAATAAAAATATTTGAATGA